CGTAGATATATAATTTGTGGTATAAAAAGTGAAAAGTAAATTGCCAAAAGTACTTCAAAATCTGGAAGACCCATTTTGGCGGTTGGGTCATAAATGTGTTATTTTTCAAATTCTCATTTATTTTTAGTGTAAAATGTAAGTAAAAATAGTTTTCTTACATATTTCAAATAACTTGACGTTGTATTTATTTCAAATTCACACATAATTATTTTTGAAATATTGTTCTAAATGTCACACAGATAAAATATTATTATTGTTTTTTTTAATTTTTTAATATTTTAATATTTTGGTATGAGTAACGAATGGAAACATATAAAACATAAAAATATACATATTTCTAAACATTTTCATATAAATTTCTCCAAAAACAAAAGTGTAGAATTCAAACTAAAATTGAAGTATATACTACTACTGTGCTATACAGGGTAATTTATGTATTTTATTACAATTTCTAGCAACCAAAAATAATTTTATTCGATAGTTTATACATTCAACAAGAAATCCTGTAAGTTTTATCCATAAATATTGTCTCAAAGTGAAAATATAGCAAAATTTGCAATATAGCAAAAAATTTTCTAACTTACAAATTTTCCCGCCATTAAGGTCCCGAGCGAACGGGAGTATAACACGTCGCGCGCTGTCAGAGCCTTGGGGCAGGCATACTCAACTTCATGTCTTAGTGCATTAGCGCTATGATACGTGGAGTTTTGTTCATTGGCGTCTTGGTAGCGTGCTACTATGATACGTTGGTGATATTTTTTATATAACAACAATACAAACTTTGTTACCAAAGTCGATAGGGATCATGTGGGTGTGTTGTGAGGGGGCGCCATCCGTATGATAGTTGTATTGATGCTTACTGCTACTTGCGGTATTGCGTCTTGTGATGGATCTGCGGGTGTGCTTCGCCTGATTTGACGCACTCTTGTGGTTCTGGTCGATGGAGGTAAACAAATAACATCTTAGTGCCGTTGGTAAGCAGGTTTGTTGTAGCAATACGGCTTTCCCGTGGACATCGCACACCCATACCGTTTGTGGACGGCGTAGTAGCGTATAGCGATGCGTCGTCTATCTTTCGGATTGGGATGATGAGTGTGTTTGGTAGCACTTTTAAGTGTAACAGGCATACTCAACTTCATGTCTTAGTGCATTAGCGCTATGATACGTGGAGTTTTGTTCATTGGCGTCTTGGTAGCGTGCTACTGTGATACGTTGGTGATATTTTTTATATAACAACAATACAAACTTTGTTACCAAAATCGATAGGGGTCATGTGGGTGTTGTTGTGAGGGCGCGCCATTCGTATGATAGTTGCATTGATGCTTACTGCTACTTGCGGTATTGCGTCTAGTGATGGATCTGCGGGTGTGCTGCGCCTGATTCGACGCATTCTTGTGGTTCTGGTCGATTGAGGTAAACAAATAACATCTTAGTACCGGTGGTAAGCGGGTTTGTTGTAGCAATACGGATTTCCCGTGGACATCGCACACCCATACCGTTTGTGGGCGGCGTAGTAGCGCATAGCGACGCGTCGTCTATATTTCGGATTGGGATAATGAGTGTGTTTGGTAGCACTTTTAAGTGTAACAGGCATTCTCAAATTCATGTCTTAGTGCATTAGCGCTATGATACGTGGAGTTTTGTTCATTGGCATCTTGGTAGCGTGCTACTGTGATACGTTGGTGATATTTTTTATATAACAACAATACAAACTTTGTTACCAAAGTCGATAGGGATCATGTGGGTGTGTTGTGAGGGGGCGCAATCGGTATGATAGTTGTATTGATGCTTACTGCTACTTGCGGTATTGCGTCTTGTGATGGATCTGCGGGTGTGCTGCGCCTGATTCGACGCACTCTTGTGGTTCTGGTCGATGGAGGTATGCAGGTGGTGATGTCTGCTGGGATGTATGGGGGACCTTGGGATGGTGTAAGCCCGACGATAGTCATATTGATGCTTGTTGCGTTCTGCAGCGTTGCGTCTTTGCGATGGTTGTTTGGTGGGACGCTATTCTCAATGGCGCTCTCTGCGTCTTGGTTTGACTCACACCTGAGTAGCTTTGCCCAAGTCGGGTCCCTACATTACGGGGCTGCAGGCTGTCTGCCCTTTACGATGTTTTATATAACAACATAATATTATATCTCTGTAACTTTCCCACCTTTGAATGATTGAAGGCAACTTGTTGGTGGATGAGATAAATATGATCGAAAATGCATTTACTCAACGTCAGTGACACAAACCCTTTCTGATGGCGAATTATTACTCTTATCTTATAACTGCCTTTTGGCTATATCTGCCGTTGTATTGGTTGGTGGAGCATATGTATCGACCTCATGCGGGTGGTAGCTGGCGGGAGGATCTGAGGAGACTCTCAAGGTTGCGGCCGAAAGCCGCACAACGTGGGACCCCATTCCCTTGAGGTGAGCCGGTAGACTCATGACACGCTCTGCGGCTAGTAGCCGTGCTGATCATGCAATTGGTGGTGATGCCATACACTTACATCACGTCTGCAGGAGCAGCGGTCTGGCAGGTGGTGACGCTCACGGAGGGTTTACGGCCAGTGTGCCTATTTGCCTAAACCGTGTGACGTACATTCACTGTGGCTGGATTCGTTCGTATTCTGTATGGCGTTTACACGCATTGACATGCGCGACTTCAGTCGATGTTTGTGCTTACGCACTAACAAGGGGCCAAGCCTCTTTTACTGGTTCGCCAATTATTTTGCTGTGGACTACGGTCCAGCTCCTTAGCTTTCCCTTCGGGGGGAGTACATCAAAATGGTTGGCGCTCACCGTGCACGGCGTGTGTGCGGCCGTGTGCCTCCCCTACATTTTTTAATAAATGTAGGAGAGCGAAGCCCTTGTATCGGGTATTTTGTATAAATATATTTTGAGCCTTTTCCGAGTGGGAACGGATAAATAATATTAAATTAATAATGTAAACCTGATACAAGTGGAATTGGGACGTTTTATGTTCTTAAGCTTTCTCGAGCCCTGTCTTCGTGAACAGGGTTCACTTAGCTTATAAGAAGGCACTACCAACAGCTTTCAATTGCTCTAGCGAATATTCATTCTTCCAAAAGACACCTACAGTAACTAAGTTACTAAACAAACACAATGTAAATAAGGGTCCTAACTAAGACGATCACGCCAAAATATTACAAACGGCCTATTATTAAACCTTTAGAAAGATCGTTTAGAAAGATCAAAACATATTTTATTTATCCTAGTCACATATATATAATTTTATTATAAAGGGGAATTAATTATATTTAATCTAATATATTTATTATTGTTGTGAGAGGGGGGAAACGTTACACCATCAACACCGTGTAGTGGGTTTTGGAGGAATGCATGGCTCTGGAAATATCCTCATACATTTCCTCCACCTCCTCATCGGGGTGTACCGAGGTTGGTGCGTAAACCTGTATGACCTTCAGCGAATACCGTTTGGTGATTCTGAGTATCAGGTACGCGACCCTCGTCGACACACTTCCAATCTTTACAACGTTGTTGACGAGAGACTTGTGGACGATAAATCCGACACCTCCTTAGGACAGATGGTCGCCCTCCCAGTGATAGAATAAGTTGCCGAACTCGAGGATTATCGTGTCCTCCCCCTCTCTTCGGACCCCGGATAATCCAATAATATGGCAGCGCAACTTGTCTACCTCTTCTTCCAACTCCAGTATCTTCTCGTCAGTTCTCTGGGTGCGTGCGTTATATGTTGCCAGGTCGAGTCGTCGTAGGTGGCAACCGAACCTCCACCGGAGATTATTAGCACCCCCTGCCCCGCCATTACCATGGTCGCCACCGTAGCCAGGAATAGCGGGGCCGCCGGGGACTGGGGGCCGTTTGTTTACGTCGTTATTCATGGGGGGATATTTGCCATGGTTGCCACGCTTGGCGAGCGGGTTGGAAACCGCAGTTTTTTTATTATATCACTGTTGTTATCAGGAAGATGCTGCTGCCGATCTCCTTTCTGGGTCCCTCTGTCGCCTCTTACGACACCCACGGGAAGATAAGGGGTAGTGGATATTCTCAAACGCCACTACACGGCAGCTTCTCGTCAGGTATACCTCAATCTCTGAAAACTAAAGTATGCAACCAGTGCGTATTGCCAGTGATGACTTACAGATCTGAGACGTGGTCCTTCACTGCTGGCCGTATGAGGACGCGCAAGGTCGATCAGCGAGCTATGGAGAGGGCTATGCTCGGAGTTTCTCTGCGTGATAGACTCAGAAATAACGATATCCGCAGTAAAACCAGAGTGACCGACATAGCCCAACGGATTAGTAAGCTGAAGTGGCAATGGGCCGGCCATATAGCTCGAAGAACCAATAACCGATGGGAAGGAAAGGTTCTCGAGTGGCAGCCTCGTACCGGTAGGCGTAGTGTAGGGCGACCCCCCACTAGATGGAGTGACGACCTGGTAAGATATGCAGGAAGTCGATGGATGCAGGTGGCTCAGGACCGTGCTTTTTGGCATTACTTGGGGGAGGCCTATGTTCAGCAGTGGACTTGTGAAGGGCTGTAATGATGATGATGATGATAACATATTTGAATGTTAGTTATAAACTTAAATTCATTACGATCATCATCATAATAGCTCTTCACAAGTTCACTGCTGAACATAAACTTCCCCCAAAAACGGTATGTTTTCGCACACGCATCTATAGACATCGCGCATATTTTTAACAAGGTGGTCCTCTAGCCACCCTATACTTCGTTTACATGATAGGTACATGATACTTAAATTGTTATTATTTAAATTGAAATAAATTCACCACTTTTTATTAAGAGGTAAAAACAAATAGCTGCAAATTATCTTATCATAATCAAATAAAATACAAACTTGGATGTAATAAATTATTTTATACATTTTGTAGGTAGGTATTTGACGAATAAAGCATAATAGTAATTACGCTCCGTATTTACGACGTAATTTATTTATCTTTCAAGCTCTTACAACTATTGTTGTAATAACTATCAACTATGATTTTACTTAGTTTTTGTATTATAAGATTCACCACAACTAACAGTGGGATAATATTTATCAAGTATGATTTGGAAAAAATCAGGCGACGGTAGGGCATTAGTTGGAAGTGACTGAATTTTTTTTACAGTTGCTTCGTAGGTAGCACGTTCTTCACGAAAGTAGATATTTAGTATATTTAAGTCCTCGTAGAGTTTTCGTATGCGGCTTACATTCTCAGGTTCCCAACTACCGTAGCACGCTTCGAATTCCTTTCGTTGTGTTTTGTTGCAGCGCTGCAAAGCCGTTACTGCTAGCCAAGTACATTTTCCCGCTTGTATATCCGAGCCAGTTTTACCCGTCCGTTTATCATCATCGAAGAAATCTGTAAGGTCATTCTGCAAACATGTAAGTTGTATTAAAAATAAAGAACCATATTTCTAAAGTGCTTAACGAAATGATACGTTATATAGAATGGACTTCGAACAAATTTTTACATTTCAATGGAATCGAATTAGTATTATGTATAACGATATCTAGCCTATGACACTCCGAAGAAGATAACGACGAACCTAATATATCTCTTAGGTTTTTAGGGTTCCGTAGTGAGTGACGCAACAAGGAACCTTTATAGTTTCGCCATGTCCGTTGGTCCATCCGTCCGCGGTTTTTGTGGTGTTACTGGTTCACTGGATAGGTAAAGATGTGTAAGTACAATAGCGAATACCTGGCGTCTCAGCCACTTTTGCGTCCATAACTGTCTCGCTCGTGCTTGATAAGGTGACTCTATCCGTCTCAATCACTTCAGTGTCAATACCTGTATCGCTTAAACTTCTTTAGAATGAATCCTTCACTTCAAGCTACAATTTACGACCCTTTGGAAAATCTTGGGTACATTAGGACTTGTTACCATGTTTTAACCAAGTAAGAAAAACTTGTTAAAACTGGGGTTTTACGAGAAAAAAAAAACAATGTCGACGATTGCAGCTACAATTTACCAAGTGTTATACCATTTTGGAATCCATACTATTATACGCTATTTGCCAAATTACTATTTCTACTGTACAATTTTATATTGTACAATTTTTTTCAATACAGTCAGTTAAATCTAGACAATTTTTAATTATGAATTTTTTTAAAAAATATAGTCCTATTTTTAAGCAAGCTAGACCAATTGGTGAACTGGAAATTTTGATACCAGTTTAGAGAAGCATTATTCAGGGTTTCATAAAAAAATAGTTGGAAAAGTAAAGATTTGTGGCAACAGGAGTGACTATCACAGGATGTGAAATTTTACCATAATTTTAAATGCCTATAATTTTGAAAACATGCAACTTAGATATTTTTTTAATTTTTCTGACTACCAGTATGAGTTACCTTTTCACCCAGTCACAAAACTCGACGTCAACCCGTGACGTAGAGTTTTGGGACAACTTGTATATCTTATGGTTGTACTGCCTGGAATATATAAATAGATAGTCAACTATGACCATCTTTATGCGGACTTGGCATATAAATGATTTGATGTTATTATTTTTAAAATAGAAAAGTTTTTTAGTCTTTTTTAAATACTACTCCCTATAAGTCTGAAAATAAGTCCGTCAGTTAACATATTCCTATTTGGGCTTATTTTTAGTCGTTATAACGGTCAAACTGTGAATTCACTTATTATTGTTGCGCGGCTAAGTTGACATCTCATCTCATGGCATGCTAGCTCTAGCGCCATCTAGTGTCGGGTAACAGAGCGAGTAGAGAGCTTTCCAGAAAATGACATAACTAATTTTTTAACCGACAGCGCCATCTAGTATCAAATTGAAGAACTAAACTTTCTAGAAGCTCTACACTCGATCTTTCTGCGCTTGGTCGGTTGGCGCGCGTATTTACTTGAATATTCTGGAATATTCTGGATGTTTTCGTGGAAGAGCCCTATATAAAGGCGCTGCAATACGCGATCGGGGGAGTATTGGATTTGGCGAGACAAGCGAAGCTTCGGAGCGAAATAAAGTGAATTAGTGTGATTAATTATTAGTGTTATTAACTTTAATTAGTGTAAAGTGAATTAAAGTGTTAATTTAGGTAATTCTATCGGCAATTTTTATTGTCACGAACCTCAAGCTCGTAACAATTGGTGTCAGAAGTGGGATAAAATCATGCCGATTTTACCTAAGGACGAGATGGAGGGTGTCCGTACCCGAAGTCAACGCCAGCAGGAGACGGACCAGAGGAGATTTGGTGGTGCAACGCCGCAGATGTCTGAGGGCCAGCCGCCGGCCACGGAAGCCGGCCCGTCAGCAGCTTCTACGTCTGTGGCACCTGACTTAGGTGCTCTGATGGCGATGCTACAGGAGCAGCTGCAGCGCGAACGAGAGGAACAGGCCCGTCTGTTGAAAAAGCAGCAGGAGGAACAGGTCCGTCGTTTGGAAGCGCAGCTGCGGGGCGGACAAGAAGAACAGGTCTGTAGTTTGGAAGAACAGCTGCGGGGCGGACAAGAGGAACAGGCCCGTCGGTTGTAAGAGCAAATGCTCCTCATGAAAGATCTTCACACTACCTTCGGGAAGGAGATAAAGGAGGTCAAGGATAGGGTTGCTCAGAATGACAACCGCCTGTCGGAAGCTGAAACCCAAATCGCGAAGGCTGAAACCCAAATGAAGGAAGCTAAAACCCAAATCGACCAAGTGAACAATCGGGTAGACAACGTGGTGGCTGATGTGAAGAAAACGCTGGACGACCTCAAACTTTGGGATGGAACAACAGCTCCCGTAGTAGCTACAACACCTTCGCTACGTGGATTCAAAGTGCCGCCGTTCGACGGTACCTCTTCCTGGTCAGCCTACAAGATCCAGTTCGAGGCTGTTATGAAGGCGAACGGCTGGAATAAAAGTCAGGCCATGACTGCTCTCACACTAGGCCTGCGCGACCAGGCTTTAACAGTTCTGGAAGCTCTCGGTGAGGAAGTGACTTATGAGCAACTCCTTGAGGCATTGGAGGCGAGATATGGCGACGCTCACCTGGAACACGTCTTTCGTGCGCAGCTTAAAGATAGCGTGCAGCGCATCAACGAAAACCTGCAGCAGTGGGCTCTAGAAGTGGAGAAGCTGGTGCGAAAAGCATACCGGTCTGTACCTGCGCTCATTGAAGGGAACCTGGTGCATTCATCGACGGCATCCGTGACCTGGAAGTCAGAGCTGCTGTGAGGCTCGGGCACCACGAGAGCTTAAGGACGCCCTGGCCCATGCACTGGAAGTGGAAGCCGTGCGGCAGGATCATCGTTCCCATCGCGTCAGGGAGGTCGCAGCAGCTACAGTCCGTGACCGCAGCAAAGGATACGGCCCTAGGTGCTATGGCTGTGGGGAAAAGGGCCATCTTCGATCCAGCTGCCCTAAGCGAACCCTAGAAAGGGAAAGTGAACGATATCAGGAGGGTAGTGCAGCTAACGGCACTGCCTGGCGGCGACAGGATCGTCGTTCACCTCACGCTAGGGAGGTTGCAGCAGTTACGGTTCGCGACCACAATAAAGGATACAGCCCTAGGTGCTATGGCTGTGGGGAAAGGGGCCATCTTCGGTCCAGCTGCCTTAAGCACACCCTAGGAAGGGAAGGTGAACGGTCTCAGAAAGGAAGTGCGGCTAACAGCACCGCCCAGCAGCAGCAGGAATACGACTTTACTATCAGACACTGCAGCGGGAAATCTCACGGCAACGCAGATGCATTGTCAAGAAGATCTTTTCCTGAAGATTGCAACCATTGTAGTAGGCAAGAGAGTAAGGAAGTGGTATCCGTGAGGATGCTCAGGACAGACCACCTCAGCAACGGGTGGAAGGACAGCCTACGACATGCACAGCAGGAAGATCCGGACATCAAGCCGATTCTGGGATGGATGAAGGCCCGTACTACCAAGCCTAAGTGGAGGGACGTCTCAGCGATGAGTTCAACCACGAAAAGCTATTGGGCCCAATGGGACAGCTTGCTGCTTCAGGATGGAGTCCTGTGCCGTAAATGGGACAATGGTCGAGGAGACAGCTGTCGTCTGCAAATGGTTGTCCCTAAAGCTAAAGTGCCGAATGTTCTACAGCTGTGCCATAATGGTCGTTCAAGAGTCCATCTGGGAGTTAAACGAACTCTACTGAAGGTCCGAGAACAGTTTTACTGGGTCCATTGTCGTGACGATGTCGAGGATTGGTGTCGTACATGTACAAGTTGTGCGGCCGTGAAGGGACCTCAGACACGTAATAGAGGAGCATCGAAATTGTGCAATGTTGGTGCACCATGGGATAGGACAGCCCTAGACATTGCGGAGTCGTTACAGAAAGGCGCAAGAGGGACTCCTAAGATCGTCCATGTGGATCGCCTGGCGCGTTATTATGGGGCCGATAATGCTCGGGACGAGCATGTCTTAGGAGGGGGCAGTGTTGCGCGGCTAAGTTGACATCTCATCTCATGGCATGCTAGCTCTAGCGCCATCTAGTGTCGGGTAATAGAGTGAGAAGAGAGCTTTCCAGAAAATGACATAACTAATTTTTTTTAACCGACAGCGCCATCTAGTATCAAATTGAAGAACTAAACTTTCTAGAAGCTCTACACTCGATCTTTCTGCGCTTGGTCGGTTGGCGCGCGTATTTACTTGAATATTCTGGATGTTTTCGTGGAAGAGCCCTATATAAAGGCGCTGCAATACGCGATCGGGGGAGTATTGGATTTGGCGAGACAAGCGAAGCTTCGGAGCGAAATAAAGTGAATTAGTGTGATTAATTATTAGTGTTTTAAGTTTTAATTTGTGTAAAGAAAATTAAAGTGTTAATTTTATCGGCAATTTTTATTGTCACGAACCTCAAGCTCGTAACATTATGCTCATTATCAAGAAAGACCACGTACTGTGACGGGAAACTACGGAATCCTACCTCTACATTGTGCGTTGCCCGAAACGCACTTGGCCAATTTTTTTTAAACTCAAGCTGCAGTTGTCTAGCAGGTAAGGACTACGAAAATACGAAATGTCGCGGGTTCGAATCCGCCATTCCATTAACGTCGTGAACCACTCCTAAAATAAGTATTTTTATCTTACTCATAAACTTTATATAGAACATAAGTAATCGTAAAATTTGTAGCAATTCAATAGGTGAAGAATTCCTCACTATGTTTGAAATATGTCTTCCGCATGTCTTAAAAAAGTAAAAAAATAAGTTAATACATTTCTTACGTTTATTTGGCTCCAAATTCCGATATCTGTCAATATATTGGAAATATTTCGTTGCGAATCCTTGTTGAATTTATTGCACAAAATTAGCGCTGATAAAACAGGGAATTTGGTAGAAAAATACCCATATTTATGATGGGCAATCATTTTGTAACGGTCCATAGTAAAATCATCATAATTTCTGTTTTTTGCAGTTACGGCATCAAAGTATTGTCCAACGTTGCACGTTAAAAATGCCTGTAAATGTATCGAAGGTTAAGTCAATTAAATTAGTCTCTGTTCAGAAGTCGCTTGTAGTCAAATGCTACTACTAGTCGTTTACAGTTTACAGTCGTTTATTTTCTGGTATGTATATCTGTGGATTGTATAAAGGTAAATGTATATTGGCTTTGTAAAAATATTCCCTATTCCATATCGCTCCGTGGATATTTAAGGGGCGACAGAGGAAATCAAATCAGGAGATGGGCAACAACCCCGTCCTAATAACAACTAGTAAACTGCGGTTAGTAACACACATTAGTATAGTTGACACACCTGTCTAGCGCGTCAACTATGGTAAGTATATGAGTCAACCCTTTAGGAGGCATATGTTCAGCAGTGGACTTTTATTAACTGTAATAATGATGATGGTGATGAGTACATCCGCAACTTGGATCTTGTAACGGAAGTGTCCCAGTGTACGATAGAATGTAAAAACAAAAAGTTGCCCACAGTACATGTAACTAGTGATAGGATTTTTTTTCATAGAATAAGGGTGACAAACGAGCACACAGTCCACCTGATGGTAAGCGGATGTTGTGGCGCATAGACATCAAAATTTATCCTCGATTAAGAATCAAAAGGAAGATGGGTTGTTACCCGTTGTAGCGGTTAGGACTAAGATGGAATGCCTCGTTTCCTGTAAAAAAGTGTCTCCGGATCTCTACATTCACCATACGAAACACAGAAGTATTAAGCTGCTATTTTAGAAAGAAAGAAAGAAAGAAAAGAAAATAACTTTATTCGTTGCTACGCTAATACAAAACACGTAAACGCTAATACAAACACATAAAAAAAAAACAAACAATTAACTCAACACAAAAAATAAACAATTAATAGTAAAAAGTATTTATAAAAAGTATTTAAATTTATGTTGGATTGCAGCAACGAAAAGGACCCGACTCAGCATTATGCTACAGCAAAGAGCCGCAGCGCTGTTATTCTGTCGGGACCACTAATCTAAAACATACGAGCAGCTGTCAGACAGATTTAATGCAAAAAAAAAACTAAAGATATTTTAAATGTATATGTTTATGTAATATAATATAAAGATAATATTCTGAAAAACGATAAATAATGAAAAATAAATATATAAATATATTACTTTTAACTATGTTGGCAATAGTATATAATAGAATAATGAAAGGAATAATAATAATAAATTAAAAATATTTATACTATGTTATAGAGCTAATTCCTGGACAATGGTGTACATCATTGACCAATATGCGATTTTGTGTATTAAGTGTCTGCGCATGTGAACTATTAGTGGAAGCTGTGAAACAAGTGCTCTGATGGAGATGGATTCTCAAGATAAGCTGTTTGCATAGGCATCTTTGGATACCATCGCCAATTGTCTGCTGCCTGCTGGCTCAAGTTGCCATCAGAATCTCCCAAGGGCTGCACCATGTGACGCATCAACATGTTTTGAAGCAGTGAATTACGAAGGATAATTATACACAAAGACAAAGACAAGGCTGGTATTTTACGCTGGTATTCTGTGAGAGCGTGGTCCTTCCCCGGTCGAGCCGACCCATTCGTGCTACAACCATAATATAGAGCTGCAGCGTGGCTCTCCCCCTAGTAAAACTCCCCCCACAACACAAGATTTTGTACGATCGACAATCATAGACTTCTGCTTGTCTTATCAGCGGGTCACTCAACACTACGTTTACATTATTTAGGAACTGACCTAAATAATGTAAACGTATACATTATTTAGGTCAGTTCCTTAGCTTAATAGGCTGAAGTAGCAATTACATGCATATAAAGCTATGTCCGGGCCATTATATTGTAGTTATTGCGACTTCAGCCTACTAAAATGCTGAATTATTTTACGGATGTCGTCCCTAAGAATTTGATCTCGCAATGAAACACCGAGCATATCCCTCACCATAGCTCGCTGATTTTCGGAATACCGCCAGCAGTAAAGGACCACGTTTCGGTTCCGTAAGTCGTCAATGGCAACACGCACTAGCAGTACACTTTTTTTAAGGCTCTGAGAAACAGAGAATAGATTTGTCGCAATTTTCGGACGCAGCCCAGCCGAGTGCGATTTGTCGGTTGACCTGTTAGTCAAAATTGGATTTACGCGATTAGGTGTTTTCTTACAGCTACAAATAACTCGTCAACAATTTCGAGCTTAGTGTTTCCAACAACTAACTGATATAAGTGTGATATGTACGTATGTATTTTTGTTTTGTTCGTTAAGACCTACCTGGTGGGAACACTGTTTTGGTCATTCAGGTCCCCTAGGGATTCTGCCGGAATTAATGTACCGTCGGCAAATGTGAAATGTCCCTGCAGTTGGATATGTTTTGTTTACTAGTTCTGCAATAGAAGCCGTAGACGTAATAATAGTCATCGTAGTTTTTTATACCAACACAATCATCTTGATATACCCATCTAGATGTAGCCAATTTTGAGGAAAATGAAAGCCATCTCAAAGTCGTGTTATAATTTTCAAACTTCTGTTTTATCTACCTTCACCTCATCTTTGATTTGTCGACGATATAGTCCTTATGATAGAATCGCTGGAGGACATAAGCACTATGCTCAATTACCTCAATAGTGTCTTCCAATGGATAGGTCTTGGGGTGAACATGGACAAAACATAAGACATGTGTAACGTCCATGTCACACCTATGCCGGTAGTTGTTAGAAGCACTAAGCTCGAAGTTGTTGACGAGCATATTAACATGGGACAAATAGTCCGACTAGGTAAGTCCAACTTCGGCCGAAGAATCAATCAACGGATTCAACTTGGCTGGGCAGCGATTGGCAAATTACGACACAATTTTCGTTAGATTAAGTAAACTAGATTGTATCACCAGTACGTGTTACAAGCGATAACCTATGGATCTAAGACGTGGTCCTTTACTGCTGGCCGTATGAGGAAGCTCAAAGTCGCTCAGTGAGCTATGGAGAGGGCTATGCTCGGGGTTTCTCTGCGTGATAGACTTAAAAACGAGGATATCTGCAATAGAACCAGAATAACCGACATAGCCCAATAGATTAGTAAGCTGAAGTGGCAATGGGCCGGCCATATAGCTCGAGGAACCGACAACCGGTGGAGAAAAAAGGTTCTCGAGTGGCAGCTTTATACCGGCAGGCGAAGTGTAGGACGTTCCCCCACTTTACTTACCTCATTGAATAGGTTGAGTATATTAACGTATGTAGACCCTTGAAAGCCTTGCTTTAACATTTCGTGTATAAAGCTCCGAAACATACTGGCATCATTCATGGCCAAGCTGCCTACGTCTGGCAGTAAATGCCAACACGTCTCCCTGTTGCGTGTTTTCGTACCATCTTCTATGTCATCCATGATAATAATATATGCCATTACCTAAAAATCAATAAAAATATCAGTGATCTGCTTTTATGCTTCAGAAAGTGGGTAATTTCGTTTTCCGATGCGACTATTCGATTCGACCTGTCATATTATACGAATAATCGAAAGATTTCTTACCATTTGAACACATAAGGCTAAAATATATTGTTGAGTTTGTAATTCGCTTTTTACTTCTTCAGGTTTTCGAAGTATTTCATGACATAGTATTGTCATTTCACTTTGTGTAAGATTTCGTCCTTTTGTGCTGTATTCTGTAATCTAAACACTGATTTATTAATTTACGAATTTTGTATGCTCTATGTATTTTAAGAAAATTTGTATTGAGCCCTTTCAAGTCATTTAAATATTTATTCAATAAATCCTATTTGATTGATATTATTTCAAAGTAAACAATTCTATTTATGTGCGATGCTGTACTTACTCTTTTAATTCTAGTGCTTAATTCTGCTGGTTTCAAAACGTTTATTGCCTGCACGCCCTCTTCTATCATAATAGGAATTGATTTTTGAAACTTTTCATAATCATTTCGCGATAGTATTTCACTTGATACCGGAGATGGATACCTAATATTTGAAAAAATAAAAACAATGAGTGTATAATTGTTCTATCTGTACAATTATTAACAAAAACTTCATACGTAAAATAAAATATTAATTTTTTTACATTAGGAACATAATAAATGGAACAATTCTGAAGTTGTTAATTAATAAAACATACCAGTTAGTGTAACTTCTAGAACAGCTCAACAACCGTCTAGACGGTGTCATTATTTTTACAAAAAAACAAAACATCTTTAAAGGCTATGGATAAGATCAACGTTTCAAAAGCTACGTTGAATAACTACACTGAATAATTTAATTTCTTACATTACTTTATATATAAGTACATATATCCCCGCTATAACTAATATTTTATGAGTCTGAATATAAAAAAGCTGGCACGTTTATCTCGTTGTATTATGATTTATGAGATAAAATATACGTTAATTGCTAGATGTAATTTGAATAATCAAGCAAATTTAATGTTATTCAAATGATTATTCATTTAAATTTTTGTATCATAATATAGCTGCAGCGTGGCTCTTCCTCTATATTATTGTCGCAACACGATTAGATCGACTCTACCCGGGGAGAGGGGGGGGGAGTACACATAATATTTATTGCCACACAATAGTAGGTTTGAAATGAATACAAAGTGAGTATACACATAACACTTATGTTATGTGTATTCTCACTTACATAGACTTAAAAAAATCAATATCAAAAAAATGAACATTTACAATTAACAAATTAACTACTATTACTATATATACGAGCATAAAGTAAGGCAACGGGAACGGGCTCAGTATTCGCTGGACATTATGCTCCTCAGCACTGGTTTTCAGCCAGTCCCTGCTGTTTTGGGTATATATTATATTTTGGTCGCACACAGATCGTACTTAATTATGTACGATGGTAACGCTCTTATTCTAAAACTCTGTTGTAGGCACTTCTTTGATTGTAGTATATAAGCACTGAACTCTTACTATATAGCATTTCCCTATCCCAAAACTGCTATATGTTATATTGTTAAATAAAGTAAAATACGAACAAATGAACGAACAATTGAGGCTAGATCAAGAAACCCGCACTCGTTAGTGCAGTATAAAGTTTACTGTAGGTGCCGTGCGCAAGATTTTGCCTAGGACATTCTACAAGTACTAAGACTCGTAGAATGACAATATCGTGGTTCGTGTTCGTTTAGTAATTTTTCATTTTTCCAGTGTATGTAAGGAAGATCTTTTAACTGAGAGCCTCTCCTGTGTCACATTGAGATAGGTAGTATTGCTGTTCCCCCCGAACGGGTTCCCGCCTTGTTGAGGCGGGTGGGCTTAGTAGTCGTGGCTTGGTCACCCGCGGTGAACAAAGAGGAACCCATATGGCCGGCCCGATGTGGCCACTCCGAGTGGGATTGGCGAGCCCCGATGTGCGCTGGTGGGCTGCGGCGAGAGGGGTGTCCTCTCCCCCTACCTCTGCAGTCGAGGTGGAGTCGCGGAGGAAGAGGAGTGTTGGTACGGCGATGCACCACTCGCCCTATCCACCGCGACTCAAACGGGGCCGCACCGTTGATACGGTGGTGGTGGAGCTGCGGGGGGGGGGGGGAGAAGTGTCGATATTGTGAGGGGAGAGGGTCGATATTGCGAGGGGAGAGGAGTGACGGTATTGCGAGGCGCCGCTCTTCCTACCCTCCGCAGCCGAATATTGGTTGGCAGCGGAGCCATAGACCAGATCCGCTGCTGGGGTCGGGGATGCTAGTGATTCTGAGTGCTTGTTTTTTATGGCCCCAAGGCCTTCGCGTATCGGACACGGGGGCGTCCGTTGCGCAGGTGTAGTTGGAGGCCGTGGAGGAAGGCGCGCCATGTGTTCCGGTGCGCCTTACTTGAGGAGGACAAAGGATTACTTTATAAATTGGAAGAACAGACCAGTGTCCCTCCTGCTATGTTGCGGCTAGTGGCGTCTTTTCTGGCAGACAGGAAGTTCTACGTCTGCGTAGAGGACGCCGAGTCCGCGACAAGACCCATCAGAGCCGGCGTTCCACAGGGCAGCTGTTTGTCTCCAGTCCTGTACGCGGCTTACACCAACGACATCCCAACACTGGCAGGAAGGCTGCGTGGACGACGTGTAATTGGCATTATATGCGGACGATAGCGCCTACTTCACCTCGTCCAGAAGAGCCCACATTGCCACTGCCAGGATGCAACGTCTGCTGGACCTGTTGCAACTATGGCTAGATGAGTGGAGGATGGTCGTCAACGTTGGTAAGACGACCGCTCTGGTCACTCGCCGTCTCAGGAACCTACCACCTCCGCTAACCTTCAATGGCCAGAAAATCGCGTACGAGAAGGCCGTGACCTACCTTGGGTGCCGGATTGACCGGGCGCTGCGCATGACTGCGCACGTCGACTTCGTCGTCCGCAGAGCCAGATGTGCGCGGGCGATGCTCCGTCCAGTCCGCATTGCCAACTGCCACTTAAGACCAAAGTGAAGATATACAAGATGTATATAAGACCCATCATCACCTACGCTGCTCCGGCCTGGTACGCGCTTCTGAGCGATCCTCTGAGGCGGCGACTGCAGGCCCAGCAGAATTTGACTTTAAGAACCATTGTCGGTGCGGGTCGCTACGTCCGGAATGACGTCATAGCGGCCGACCTAAGAGTAGAAACCATCCAGGACTTTGTGGCCCGGTAGGCACGCGGCTTGTTCGACCGCGCAGACAACGGGCCACACACACATCTTAACAACCTAGCGCCGTTACACACTCGCCCACCGGACGGGCGACCCTATCCAAAAGAACTCCTCTCTATATAGATTAGAGAGTCGAGTAATAACCCACGATGCCGCTGATAGGCCAACTTTGACATCCCAATATAACCTCCTTTTTTCGTAGTCTTAACCGACTACGAAAAATTTTACCAAATACGGACTAAATCCAAAAAATGATTAACAACGCCTAAATAAGGCTCCCAGAACCGGCCCATAGTAGTGGGTTGCGAGGATAATCCGGGTAATGGAGGCACAACCCGAGGCCCGAGACCTGCAGGACCTAAGCAGTTCTCGCAGATGACAACACTACCAGCATTTAAAAAAGAGTACGCTCTTTTCATGAAGTTCCCTAAGTCGTATCAGTCCGGAAAAATCTCTGGTGGTAGTCAATTCCACAAGGAATTTGTTCGAGGAAGAAAATTTCTAGGGAATTGCACAGTTCATATCTCGAATTTTGTTGCGATGTGCGATGTTAATGAAAAACTCCTCCGAGCACTCCCCGTAGTGGATGCGATAGAATATGCAAAGAGATACAATATAATTTCGAAGCGCTAGTGAGTCAATCAGAAAAAACTCAGTCGTCGATAATTCGAGGCGCCCTGCGCTGGATGTGAACAAGTGGAAGGAGCTACCACTGGGATGCCCCGGCCAGCATATATAGATGAGAACAGTATTCCATATGAGGCTGAACTTGCGCCTTATAAAATTGCAAGCGGTGTGGCGGCATAAATACTGTCCCGCTCTACAAAGCACGCCAAGTTTTTAAGAGGCCAATTTGGCCTTCCTTTCGAAGTGATCGCTGAACTGAACGTCATTCGATATATTGACGCCGAGGATTCCGATGCTATCTGAGGCAACGAGCGGAGTGCCCTAAAATTGAGAAGATTCGACAAAGGATTTCTTTTTGACGGTAAACGCGCAAACTTGTGTATTCTGTGGATTGAACAGGGCTTGATTTCGTCGCTCTCAATCCAAAATATTGTTCAATGAAAACTCGACTTCAGACAATAGTTTATTCCGGCACTCGACGACGTGTTCCTGAAAAACATAAGTACGGCCGGTGAAATTAATCAAGCTGCACATATAAGAAAAAATTTTTTCATCGAAAAGGTGGCACCACATTTTTAGACCCCCCCCCCCCACCCCTTCAGTGCGTGAGGGAGAAAGGATACGGGAACGACGGATACTGGCGAGTAATATACCCCCGTACAAAATTATAAGAATACTCGATTCTTTTCCGCGCAACCAACATTTTTATCATGAGTTAAGAGAACAATACTTTAATAATAATCGATCCAATTTTTTTAGTATAACTATCCACAAATATTTAATTGTTACTTATTTTATTTGTTTCTTACTAAATATAATTTAATAAAAGAAAACAATTTGTCAATTTTTATGGTAATTTTTTCTTATATGTGCAGCTTGATTAATTTCACCGGTCTAAAAATGTGGTGCCACCTTTTCGATGAAAAAATTTTGTCCTTCCCGGGTTTCGGCAACTTTGCCTTTCTTCCAGTCCTCCGGGTAGTGGGATGTCTGCAGTATCCCATTGTAGAGTCGACCAAGCTCTACTAGGACTCTATTGGGCAGCTGTCGGAGTGTAGCGTTGGTAATCCCATCGTGCCCCGGCGTCTTCCTCGGTTGCAGGCGGGTTACTGTCCTCCGCAGTTCAGCGGGGGGAGATGAACCGCTCTCCTGCAAGCGGTGGCGCGGACGACGACAGGAATTCCTGTACGCGACTCTCCTTCCGGGCATGAAGCTCCATGAACTCCGCACTTGCTGGGTTCGGCATAAATTGCTTCTCGAAGTGCTCTACCTTTGGCATCATAACGACGTCCGCCCGCGTTGTTGGTCAGCGGGCAAACGGGAGGTTCGGCTTTAGTTAAATGTCGGTTCAGTTTGTCGCATCGAGACGAGGCATCGTGCTCTTCAGCTTTCCATATACGTCGCTCCCAGGCCTCTCCTCTGTGTGCCTGGACTGCAACCGACAGTTCCTCAGACAAGGTGTTTAGTTGCGTTTTGATTCTCGGGCAGCGAGTACGCGCTCAGCAGATCAGAGAAAAAGAGCCGTCTCAACGCTCTTTTTCTCTTGATCTGCACGCTTATCTCACGCGGCAGATCGTCTCTCCTTGCTGGCTGGCTTGAGGCAGCATGGAGGGCCTCCTGTATCGCCTTGGTGATTCTGGTACCAGCGGCCTCTACGTCGTCCGCTGTGCTTAAAGGGTGTTGTGCTGGAGGTCTCTCCTGCAGGTGTTGGTGTCAGAGCCTCCAGTCGACACGTGTCTTAAATGCTCTGGGCGGTGTAGTCACCGCCTTTAGGCCAAGGGTAATCAAGATTGGGAGGTGCTGTGAATTAAGATCGTACAGCACCTTTACCACTATCGGATAGTTGACGTTCCTAGAGAGCACGATGTCCAATACATCCGGACGTTTCCGTGGGTCTGTCGGAACGTGTGTAA